CCCCGCGCTGCGCTGGTGCAGTCCCCGCGTCCCGCGCGCACCTCGGGCGGCCGCACCGGTGTCAGATCCGCCCCGAGTCGGAGGAACAAAGAGGCCGAGCGCCGCTCGGGCCCGAGCCCCGGAGCTCGCCGGCCGCAGGTCTGACTCGCAGGTACCCGCGGCTGGCCCCTGGCAGCCTGCGAACCGCGCCGTTCAGGTTTTTGTTTTCGTCCTGACGAACTGAATTCCTCTTTACAGGTTGTATAAAGCCATACCCTTGTCCAAACTAGATCGATAGAGGTGTCCACGTTCGTGTCGTCTAAATATAGTTTAAGTAGATGCAGGCGTTTAAAGGAGAAAGTTGGCCCCAAATCACCTTGATCTCGCTGTCTGCTCTAGTTGTGTCTGTCCTGATAACGTGGTTGTACGTGTTTCGCTAGGGGGCGGCATAGTGGCATGGCCAACGGCACAGATTTTGGATTCAAATCCTAGCGGGACAGTCTCCCTCTGTGTTCCGATTTTATGATTTTTAATAAAATGTGCCGGGCGTGGTGGCGCACGCCTGTAATCCCAGCACACGGGAGGCTGAGGCAGGAGGATCGTTGTGAGTTCGAGACCAGCCTGGGCTACAAAGTGAGTCCAAGGCCAGCCTGAACTGCATCTCAAAAAGACAAGCGCAAGGTCGTGAGTTCGGTTCCTGGTACCGGAGAAAAACCAAAAAAAAAACAAAAAAAAAAAAAAAAAAAAAAAAAAAAAAAAGTTAGTTTTTGAGATAGGCCTCATTATATAACCCAGGCAGCTCGTGAAGTCGTGATCCTTCTACCTCATCTTCCCAAGGGCTAGAATTACAGGCATGCACCGCCACCCTCAGCTTAGTGTTCTGAAAATTCAAGTCCAGCCCAAGCAGTAGTCTTAAAGAGACTCTGTCTAAAATTTTACGAAAGGGAGCGAGCTGGGCGTGGTGGCACACACCTGTGATCCCAGGACTCAGGAGACCAACCCTGGGGTACATAGTTCAAGGCCAGCCTGCATTACAAAGCGAGACGTGTCTCCAAAAAACAGAATAAGTAAATATTTTAGAAAATGGCTGGAGATATATCTCAGCATGAATCTCCTGAGTTCAATCTCAAGGGAAAATACAGTGCAATAAAATGTAGATAATACAGTATTAGTTCCTAGAAGGGCTGGAAGTGCTGCTCTTTGATACAGTGTATACTTTTTTGTTGTTGTTGTTGTTACAGGGTAATAGAACTCAGGACCTTGCACTTGCCACGCAGGCACTTGTACCACTGAGCTATATCCCCGGCCCTGGCTACTGGGAGTGTGTGGTGATCTCTGGGGCCTGCCGCCAGCGCCGAGGTGGGGCAGACCATGTGGCAGATGCCTGCTTAGCAAGATGTAGCAGTGTTTCTCTCATAATATTCTGATGTTTTCAGAGTCACAGTGTGTTTTACAACCTGTAGAGTCTGTTAGCTTCCTAAATAAGTGATTTCTTCAGCCTCCAAGTGTACATTTTTTTGCACGTCCCCGAGGGCTTGTTATTTTCTTCATCTTTGGCTGTTTGTGGGTATTTTACATTCCCAGATTTCTTTCTTTTTGTTTCTTCTTTTTTTTGGTACTGGGATCTTTGGTTTCTTCTCTTTTTTTCTTTTGAGATAGGATCTTGCTATGTATTCCAGGCTGGCTGCCAACTCTCAGTAATCCTCCTGCCTCAGCCTCCCATGTGCTGGGATTAAAGGTGTGTGCCACCATCCTGGCTTGATGAAGCATTTTAACAGCGGAAATCATGTCTTCATCTTTGTGTCTTTCACAGCCTTTAGCACACAAATGAGTGAAAAGTGAGTGAGTGCGTGGCAGGGAGATGACAAATACCCTTGAGCCTCTTTTCCAAACTCTTCTCTTTATTGGTCTTTATTCCGAGGCCCCTGGGCCAGAGCTTCCGTTTTGGTTGACTGGGATCTTTATTCATTAAGGGTTTCCGTCCTACTCTGGGAACCACTTACACATCTGCACTGGAGTTCAGTTTCTCTATTACTAAGTCTCATTTTGAGTTTGAGTTCAGCTTAGTGAATCCCCAGTTTGAGTTCAGCTTAGTGAATCCCTGTGCGTGGTCCAGGAACCTTGGCGGGGACAGAGAGAGGCTGGTGAATAGATATGATGTATTATCACCATATGGACCGGGTGCGGAGAGAGTTTGCAAACTCTACAGCTCTTTTCTATTCTTTTTACAAATAAGAGGCAAGAATGGCCCCTTGGCAACCTGGGTACTAACTGCAGGGGAAAGTTTAGGGCCTAGAGCTGGTTCTGTTTTCATTATAAGAAGCGTATGTTCTAGGTGACCCCAACTCCTAAAGTACTTGCCTCTTTTAGGGTAGATATAACTTTTCTGTATGATTAATATATCAGGTTACTCACTCAGGTTTATTGAGCACTTACAGTGTGCTAGACATTTGTGATCATGAGCCCCACATGGTTCCAAGTAGACCGACTCGACCTTCCCTACCCTTTCTTCTCTTTCTGTCTGTCTCTCTGTCTGTGTGTCTCTTCTTTTTTTGGTGGTACTGGGAATTGAACTGAGCTAGATCCCCAGAGCCCCCTTTAAATTTCTTTTCTTTTTAAATTTTGAGACAGTATCTCACTGAGTTGCTAAATTGTCCAGGCTGGGCTCAAACTCCTGGCCCTCTTCCCCAGCCTCCCAATTGCAGGGATTACTGGAGTGCACCACCATACCTGGCGGTTGCTCTTTTTTTTTTTTTTTCCCTGTCTTTTTGAGACAGGGTCTCACAATACAGTTTAGGCTGGCCTTGAGCTCACTTTGTAGCCCAGGCTGGTCTCGAACTCTCAACGATCCTCCTGCCTCAGCTTCCTGAATGCTGGGATTACCGGTGTGTGCCACCAGGCCCGGCTCTGGCAGTTGCTCTTAATTTTTACTTTTGTCACTTATTCTTGTCAACTCAAATGAAGAATACCATAACAGAAGGCTATGGATTTTGAGAAGTACCTAAGAGAACTTATTTTATACCATTAGATAATTTACATTCTGACACATAAACCCAATGTATTAATGTACTTAAAAATGCATCCGTAGTATGTCTTATTACAACTGCCAACTTTAGCACAAACTTTCATTTATGTATATACTTATTTTTGTTTTATTAGCACAAACTGTCATTTATTTATGTATATACTTATTTTTGTTTTATTAGCACAAACTGTCATTTATTTATGTATATACTTATTTTTGTTTTATTAGCACAAACTGTCATTTATTTATGTATATACTTATTTTTGTTTTATGGAGATTTTTATTTTATTTTGTTTTATACTTATTTTGTTTTTATCACTGTGCAGTTCAGAGCGGCCATGAACTCACTAAGTAGCCCAGGCTGGCCTTGAATTTACTGCAATCCTCCTGCCTCAGCCTCCCGAGCGCTGGGATTACAGGCGTGTGTTATCACGTCCAGCCTAGCAAAAACTTTTAATATTTGTTTGTCTTTTTCCTATCACATAAGTGGTAAAGTTTTTGAGGGCATAAATTTTGATCAGATTCTTTCTGTAGCACAGAGCCGTGGTTCATTCATTTGCCCAACTGAACAATGTAGAATCGAGACCGGCTTTTCTGGCTGTGGTGATGGGTAGGATTTAGTCTCTGCTCTTAAGAAAGCTCCTAATCAAATTGTAGTAAGAAGCTATGTTAGGTGCTGTGCAGCTAACAACAAAGGACAGTGAGGGCACGAAGATGGCAAAGATCAAGCTGCACAGGGTGAGAGGCAGGGCCGGGGAACTTGAAGCAAGTAAGTTTCCAGCTGGGCTGGGTGGGGAGGGGTACTGCGTGTCTTTTCTTGTTTGACAGAGAGGGTTGGTAACTTTCCGGGGACGTATAGCTGGTTGCTGGAGGCAGAGTGAGATACTTTTGTTGGATTCTAAAACATGCGCCTACTTTATTCTTTCTGAAATCTCCGCACCTCGTTTTCATTCTGAAAGTTTTTGGGACTCCCCTTATCACCTGCACCAATGGTTTGCAACCTGGGGCGTGTCAGGCGTTCCCTGGAAGTTCCTTAGGGTTCGCTGCGGGGGACACGTGTAGAGTTGGAGCTGGTGAGCTTCTCAGCCAGCCCCTGACGCCCCCCACATATGCTGCTGTTGCCTGTTTGTGTTATAGTCTCAGTCCATTTGGGCTGCGGTAACAATACTGGGGACAGAAATTTCTCCTTGTTCTGGAGGCTGGGAAGTCCACGGTCAAGCTCCCTGCAGGTCAGGTGTGTGGGGAGGGCAGCTTCTCCCCGTGTCCTCGATGGAGGACATACAGAGTCTGGAGCCTTGTCTATGAGCGCGTAATTCTGCTCGCCACCTGATCACCTCCTAAACCCCGCCCCAAATACCATTACACTGGGGATTATGTTTCAGCATGTGAAAGTGGGGTATCCATCCAGCATTCAGTGTATAGCTGTGCTGCCTGCAGAGAGAGTTCTGTAGCTAAAACAATTCTGACAGCCCCTGGTTACCAGAGAGCTCAGGGTGCTGCTGCTGGTCCCCCTTCTCTCCCTCCTTTCTTCTTCCTGTTTGTCTATACACAATAATTATTTTTTGTTAGTTTTTTTTTTTTTATTGTGGTAAAACATACAGAACACAGAATTTACCTCTGAGGCCATTTTTATGTATACAGTCTAGGCGCACTGAGCGTATTTAATGTTGCGCAGTCCTTACCGCTGTTCGGCTAAAAAACCCTGCTCATGGTCACAGAAAGAAACTCTGTACCTGAGGTACAGCTCTGCGTGCCTTTCCTCCCGAGCCCTTCCGCCATTCCTCTGTTCTCTCTGATGCCGACTTGGCCGGCTGCCCCAGAGCACTGGGCTCACATGGTATTTTGCAAGAACTTAAGCTTTTCGACAGGAACTATAAGGCCCTCTGTCATCAGCCCACGGCCCTGTCCAGCCCGCCTCCCAGCGTGCCCATCTCTCACTTGTGGTTGCTTCAGCAACGCTGATACACGCGTGCTTCCTCTGTGCGCTCCAGGCCTGTGCTTTTGCAGCGCCTCGGACGCTGTTGCTCTCTGACGTCATCCTGGAAGCTTGCAATTGGGCAATCTTCTTCGCTGACTCTTTCAGTTTTCCTCACACACGGGACGTGCGTGTACCTGTCTGTAACTCAGGGCTGCACTGACCGTACTGTCAGATGAAATACACTGTCTCTGGCCTGGGACTGTGCCGTAGGGCAGAGGCTGTAGTTCAGCTTGCAGGTCTGTGTGGGATTTCATGCTTGGCACAGAGCTGAACCGGTAGCAGTTCGTCCTATTTTGGAGGTAGAATTGATGTCTAGGAACCGTAAAAACCTATTTGTGACCACATTTGGTAAATAAGATGTATGAGTAAAGGCTGAGGTAAAATTGGCTGCTTCTCAAGAGGAGCATTTAGAGGTGTTTCAAAAGTAGCCACATTTGTGGGAGATGCATACCGCTTCCCCAGGAAAGCACGTGTGCATGTAAGTTTTGCTAAGCTAATTAGAAAACTGTAAAAGCTTCCTTATGTTGTTATTTAGGGAGGACCACAAGAGAGGACTTCGTGTTTCATGCGGGTAATTTTCCAGATAAGCTCAAGCTCACTTTCTTAAGCATTGAAATTTACTTTGAAATCCAGCTGGATGACTCCGTTTATGTAATGGATTTCTCACTTCTGCTAATTCATTTGTTCATGATTGTTTGGCAGCAGTTCTCCAATGTTTAATTGGTTTATACCAAACAACTCTTGAGGGTAGGCCAACCCATTTCATTGCCAGAGATTTTGCCAAAAAAAAAATAAGCCATTATTTAAAATTCTTCCTGACATATGTAAAACATGGGAACATTCTTTTTTTTATAAACACTGTATTCAGCATGATATACCTTTTCTTTCTGATTCAGGATCCTCATTGTGAACTTTATTCTGCTGAGTATAATACGCTGAGGGATATTCAAGGAAATTATTTCAGGTTGTCACATGTGGTTTGTTTTGGGTGGAGGGTTACCAAGCTTATCTTGGGAATCCTGTGTTCTTTCGAAATTATGGTTCCCCCTCCACCCCACACACTTATTTTTTTGTTTTTTTGTTTCCACCCTATGAACACTGGAGCAATCGGATAACCTAGTTCCCACAAACTGCTTGCAACAAAAGGAAAAGTACACCCTGAGAAAGACTTGAATGGTTTTCATTTTAGTAAATTACAAAAGCTCTTAAACTGCAGATTTGGGGATGTTTATTTCGGATGGTGATGGGAATCTGTTAATTAAAGGCATTGGATAAGTGATCTCTCTCAGAAATTTAGCTAGTTATGTTAGTGATGCGGAGATAGAGCCATGAAAGACTAGTTCTGTCCAAACTTCT